ATATGGAGACAGTGACAGATTTTACTTTCTTGGGCTCCATAATCACTGAAGATGGAGACAGCAGCCCCTAAATTAAAAGACGCCTGCTTCTTGGGAGGAAAGTGATGACAAACCTTGACAGCATCTTAAAAAGCAGAGACATCACCTTGCCAACAAAAGTCCACATAGTCAAAGCTATGGTTTTTCCTGTAGTGATTTATGGAAGTGAGAGCTGGATCATAAAGAAGGCTGACTGGTGAAAAATTGATGCTTTTGAACTGTGGCGCTGGAGGAAGTTCTTGAGAGTCCCCTGGACTGCAAGGAGAACAAACCTATCAATTCTAAAGGAAATCAACCCTGAGTGCTCACTGGAAGGACAGATCCTGAAGCTGAGGCTCCAATACTTTGGCCATCTCATGAGAAGAGAAGCATCCTTGGAAAAGACCTTGATGTTAGGAAAGTGTGGAGGCAAGAGGAGAAGGGGACGACAAAGGATGAGATGGTTGGACAGTGTCATCGAAGCGACCAACCTGAATTTGGCCAAACTCCGGGAGGCAGTGGAAGACAGGAGGGCCTGGTGTGCTCTAGTCCATGGGGTCACGAAGAGTCGGGCACGACTAGACGACTAAACGATGACGACATTCTCTTATACAGGATCTTTTCCTGCAATTTCCTCCCTCTTCTTGTTGCCTTCCTCACTCCTTCCAGTGTAACCACTAACAGATTTTTCTGTTTCTCCTCCCCACATCTCCTTTTCAACATGATTTTGGCAACGATGACGACATTCTCTTATACAGGATCTTTTCCTGCAATTTCCTCCCTCTTCTTGTTGCCTTCCTCACTCCTTCCAGTGTAACCACTAACAGATTTTTCTGTTTCTCCTCCCCACATCTCCTTTTCAACATGATTTTGGCATCAGCACAGCTGGGAGAAAATAGAGGGGGACCCTGTCCTGCCTGTGTGTTTGCCCCGTGATTTAGGCCTTGAATGAAAGTATGGTGGGGACTGAAAGAGCAGGGTGTGGGATAGCTGGGGCTGGGGCGCTGCTGCTTTCCAGCCTAATCAGATAGCATTTTTTAAAGAAGGGACATGGGTATGGGGCTTGAGATTTATTAAAACAAAGTAACTAAACTATCTTAACTTTTATCTAACAAAAAAGAATGCTATGGAACTAACTACTATTTTGGTATCTGTTACTAATTGCTTGTAAAAAGTAACTTCTGAATAAGTTCATCAGGTGCAGAAATGAACATTACCTTCATTGTTTATATCTATGCTAACAGATCCAGAGTTTGACTTAAGCCAATGGACCAGTGTGAAAGAGAAACTAGGCTTGGACTTCCCAAATGTATGTAGCAACTCTGACATCATCAGCAATATATCACTGTGGATTGTTGGGGGCGGAGGCATGGATGTCCTTTTTGGGGGGCTGATCCCTTTGAGAAGGGCAGAATTCATAAAGGATGCTTCATAGCCATGCTAGCTGCACGGTTTCCTTTTGTATGCGTGTAGTTGGAAGCTGATAGATGTGCAATTGAAAAAATTGTAAAAATAGAATACCTTATTCTATGTGTGTGCTTACTGAGAAATTTAATATTCATTTTCCTGTTACAATGTCTGATCTGGTTGTGGTGACAGTTGTCTTAGGGCCTATCCAAATGGGGAGAGTTTAGAAAGGTCTGGTTCATACTTTTCTCTTGCCTTCCTTGCCAGCAGGGGCTCTGAGGAAGTGGCAGTGGCAGGCAGACTCTAAAGCTTGAGGAGAGGCCCAAAGAGAGATATTTAAAATAAGCGACATTGTGAAACAGCAGTGCATTTACCTGCCATGGTACACATAGTATTGACAATGTATCTCATTTATCTAGAGTAAAGCTGCATGAATAGGGAGACATTTTTAAAAATAAAATGATGGAGAAAATGGAAAGAAATTAGAGGGTTTCCTCATTGTCCATTATTCATTAAAATGTCACAACCCACCTAGTACATCACAAGGTTGTCACCTCAGATAACACTGCCCACAACTCCATTAGGGTGCAAACTGATTACGCAAGCGACACAACAAGATAAGGAGTAGGCCAATTCATGCTCTAAAGGAAACCAGAAGACCTAGCGCTGAGCCAGAAAGGAATGAGGCAGCTCTAAAAAGGAATGGGATGATGTGCTCTAAGTCCAATGTGTGGATGCCATAATCTGACTGAAACCAAACTACCCCCAAAAAAGATAGAAATAGTGAGCTGTATACCTGTCTGGACAGGCCCTTAGCTACATCCTGCAGGGATTACTATAATGTGCTACATATGGGGCTATCTTTGAAAAGTATTTGGAAATTTCACTTGGTCTGAAACACCAACAGGCTAGAGAAAAACTGCTGGCTTCTATGAAGAAGTTATAACCGATAAGCTAGGAACATCTTCTGCCCTTTAAAAAAAAACCTCGTGCGCAGTTAGAAAACCTGCTTTTAAAACCCCAGGGTGACTGTAGTTAAAAAGAAGTAGCTTTGCCAAGTTCTGCCACTGAGATATTTGCTGGTAATTGCTTGTTTAATTACTTTTTATTAAAGGCAAATTTGCTGCCAAATTATGCTGCTGGTACTGTGATCTGCATCCAGCAGTGTATTCCTGCTTCATTCCATATGTGTCTAACTTCAGAAAACTGTTAGATTGGCACTGCCCTACATTTTATTCTAAGGAAGTTGGAAATTGTCTGGTGAAGATGACTTGGTGATGGAATTAACTTAGAATGTCACCTTTATTCTCCTTCTCTTTTTCTAGATTCCATATCTAATTGATGGTGAGAGAAAAATTACACAGAGCAATGCCATCCTGCGGTACCTTGCACGCAAGCATAAGATGTGTGAGTGGGTTTTCGTGGTTTTCGCATCAATGATTCTTTGGATGTGGGCTGAAAATCAAAGCATACTATTGCCAAAGAGTTGGCTGGAAGGAGATTCTTAATCTTCCCTGTATCTTCTCTCACCACAGGTGGTGAGACTGAAGAAGAAATAATCAGAATAGACATACTTGAGAACCACATCATGGATTTTCGAGTGAGCTTTGCAGAATTGTGCTACAGCCCAGATTTTGTGAGTTTTATGGTTTGTGTTTTCCTTCCAAAATGGATTAGGAATTTGGCAGCCGATTTGAGAACCATTTGGGGAGAGATATGAAGTGAGTGAGTGAAGAGACAACACCAACAGAAGGCTTAGCAAATAATCCTTTCTTCCTGCACTCCTGAAATTGGGAGGGGAATTAAACTCATATTTTTAACGTAAATGTTGGGGAATGGTGGGGGTGGGAAGAAAAAGTGGCTTAGGAATGGGCAGCACCAGTAAGTTTGAGGTTTCCCAAGAGGTTAGCTGGAAATGAGCCAGTATATCACATTCCCCAATCTACTTGCAGGAAAAACTGAAGCCTGAATACTTGGAAGAACTTCCTGGGAAGCTGAAGCTCTTTTCCCAGTTTCTGGGGGACAGGAAATGGTTTGCAGGAAATAAGGTATGTAAGTTGAGTCAGATGGAAGCTTATCTTCATCTCAGGTTTATGATTAAAATGCTTTTCCTTGTTTAATTTCCTAGGTCACCTATGTAGATTTCCTTGCCTATGACGTCCTGGATCAGCAGCGGATGTTTGAGCCGAAATGCTTCAATCAGTACAAAAACCTACAGGATTTCTTTGACCGCTTTGAGGTGAAATTTCTGATGAGCTCCAGATTGGAGCATTGGAGGCATTGTTCTGATACCATTGGGGAAAAGAATGCAATCCTCACTTCAACTAAGCTTTCCAACAATCTTCCA